AGGATCAGCATAGCTCCCAGATTAAGAAGAAAGGAAGACTAGGAAGAAAGGAATGGCAATCTACTTCTAAAAATGAGCCAATAAAAACCTTGTGGATCACAACAGAACACTGTTCAACTTATACGCTTTGGATATGTCATCAGAAAGGATCATTCGCTAGAGGAAGACATCATGTTTGGTAAAGGAGAGGACCAACGAGGCCAAGGGAGACCCTTGGTGACATGGATTGGTAGCTACAATGATAGACTAAAACATGCTGATGATCATAAGGATGGTGCAGGACTAGACAATGTTCTATTCTGTTGTTTATAAGGCTGTCATGAGTCACAGTCAACTAGATGGGAGCTATCTCTATAAATGAGAAAAATGCAACCCAGAGAGAAGTAACTTTTCTAAGGTCATATGATTATTAAGAGGTGAAACTAGGATTCCAGTCCAGCCTTCTGACTCTAAAACCCAAGCTCTTTAAGTGACAATACTTTTTCTCCCCTGAGGCTGAGAGGCTTTCTAACTAGGATTCTGTAACATTGATTGCATGAAGGAGAATGCTCTGGAAAATAAGGGATTTGGGAGGGAAGATTGTCATTTTTCTCCAGGTTTGGCCTTGTAACAGTAGCCTGTTGTCCACACGTTAGGGATTGAATAAGTATATATAGCAGGAATATTTAAGCAGCCCAAATCTTCAGAAAGCCTAATTATATACAACATTATCATTTCTCTAAGTCCAAATTGGGGCTCTGTCTTATTCATTATTCACACAGCTGCCTCTTTCAAACACTGTTGGTCTCTTTGTCAAACATACATCCTACATGTTGTCAGAAATAAATTTGAATTCAAGCCCCCAAGATTAATGGGTAGAAAGGGGAACTTGATCTAAGTTCTTCTTTAGGATGAGCTATTGCCATAGTTCATAGGATGTGTTCACAGTTCTTTTGCATGACACACATTATGATATATATGAATTTCCCAGGGTTCTCATAGTATAACTTTTAATATTCTTAACTAGGGAAATCACAGTGTGTTCACTGATAATTATGGTATCAGCTGACATGGTCTTTGATACCAGAAGTATATATAAGAATATAATATACTTTGAATTCTCACATTTGAAGTCATCAAGTTACTTCCAGAATTTATATTTTGAATCATTCATATGATCATTAACCAGACTCAACGCACATCTGTTTCATCTCTTTGCATCTGTGGAGTCTAGCACAGAGCCTGGCATAAGACAGATCTTCAATAAACATTTATTGACTTGAATTAAACAGAGAAATGATGTCTTAAAACTGCTGACCGATTTGGAGGAAATAATCTGATTAAATGTTCTCTCACACAAAAAGCCAGAGGAAAGATTTGAGTCCCAACAAAGTAATCAAATGCACTCCCTGTGAGACTGACTGACACAACCAGCTTCACAGTCAGACAAGAAAATATCCCACTGCAAGCAAAATCTAACCTACTCAGAAGCTTCTTAGTTTCTGAGCAAAGTTCCAAAGCACACAAATTCAATCACTGATGGAGTATTTGCATTTTTCTTGAGTTTTATTTGGGATATTTTTATGGTACATCAGAGAGCTTCTTTCAAGGTCTAATGTTCAACTGTATTCAATTTGATGGCAATCTTTTAGAGAAACATTTCAAGGTTAAGTTAGTTTTATTTTTAACAGGCTTATTTATGCATCTGCCTTAGTCTCCATGGTCAAAATAAGACTTATTCCCCATTGATCCGACATCATCTAATAGCCCATCTCTGAGAACCACATCTCAATGAGAGCCAGCAGTTTCTTCGGGCAGGAGAGAAGACCCAGGAGAGAAAGCACTGTCTGGTTAACAAACCCTTCTTTGAGGCCTGGTGACTAAAATTATCTGTGCAATTCCCAAGTGATATTACAGGTTAGTAATTTTTTCTCACTATGTCCCTATACTTGCACTCTAGAAAAGTACATTTCCAAACATAGGAAGTCCCCTTTGTCATTACAAATCAAGAGAGTATGGAGTATGCACAACTCAACAACTGGCCTTATATAAAAGTGCAGATATAGTCACTTTGATCATGATTAGATGCACCTCATAAACACATTGTACTTAAATCAATAAGATTTTATCTAACACTAACTCCATATAATGGAGCTCTGGTAGCATAGTGGCTAAGACACTTGCCTGCTAACCAGACGGCTGGCGGTTCAAACCCACCAGCCACTCCTCGGAAGGAAGGTTGGGCAATCCTACTTCCGTAGTGATACTGCCTCGGAAACCCAAGGAGGGGTCGCTATGAGTCAGGGCCGACTCGACGGCACATAACAACAACAACTCCATATAAACCAGAGGTGAAGAGTGAAGCAATAGATTATGAAAGTCATCACATGGGCATGCCACGCATATAGGTAAAATAGAAAGCTTTCATCCTCACTCAGAAAGGCAAGTCTGCAGACCCATTGTCCATATTGATCATTTTATTATCAATAAAACATGAGCAATAAGAAAGGGTGAGTGTGCCAAGTATTAATTATGTTCCTCCTGCCTTGGAAAAGCACAGAAGATGTACAGCGATCATTGAATGTTTAGTATGAATAAAAGATGGGAATTAGCAAAAAGGAAAATGCCCGGCATTTCACAACAAATCTAAATCAAAGGAGAGTGGGCTGACATCCACCTTTCCACACTCCTTCCACTCTTGCTTCCTGACAAAAGTTGGAAATGATATGACAACAGGGAGTTGAAATTCTTAGTTATTAGCAGGTAAGACTTTGGTTCCTTTCTCAATGCTCAGAGAAAGAACCACTCAGAAAACAGTGGTTCTCAAAGTATGGCCAGACTTGTAGCTTCAGCATCAGTGGACCCACTGCCATCAAGTTGGATCTGACTTGGGTTTCTGAGGCAGTATCACTTTGGAAGTAGATTGCCCAACCTTCCTTCCGAGGAGTGGCTGGTGGGTTTGAACCACCGGCCTTCTAGTTAGCAGTCAAATGCCTTAGGCATTGAGAACTTGCAAAAATCTTGGGCCTCACCCAGACCAACTGAATTAGAATTGAGGGTGGGGTAGAATCCAATCATTTGTGTTTTTAACAAGCCCTCCAGGAAATTTGACAGAAGTTAGCATGAAAACCATTGGACTAAGAGGCATCTCATCACCATTTGAACCTTGGCTAAGCAGAAACAGCAAGGTCCTCCTCTGAATAAAGAAATCTTCAAGCAAATGTCTTCATATGTAGTAATAAAGTAAAACTATATAGCCTGACAAATGGACTTCTAGCAAAAGTGAAAACATAGTCAGTTGGATTTTGAATGGATATACCTTAAAAACACAATAAGCTCTGGTTGAATCCAAACAAACTTGATTAAAAAAAAAAAAAAAAAGCAATGGGTGTGAAAATGGCTCTTCAAATTTCTACCAAAATCTCACCCATCCTTCAAAACCCAGATCTTAGCTCTTTCCTCAAGTAGACCTCCCTCACCATACGAGCCACAGTAACCTCTCCAAATGAGCCCCAAGGAACCCTCCCATAGCACATGTCTTGTCCAATGGTGATTAAAAAACAAACAAACAAAAAAAAAACCTTACTGCTGTAGAGTGTCAAGTTGTATCCGACTCATAGGGACCCCTCCTTGGGTTTCCAAGGTGGTATCACTACAGAAGCCCAACCTTCCTTTCAAGGAGCAGCTGGTGGGTTTGAACTGCCAGTCTTCTGGTTAGCAGTCAAATGCCTTAGGCACTAGGTCACCAGAGCTCCTCCTATGGTGATAGTCTGCTCCAAACTCTTTCTGAAAGACTATTTGTGCTGCCAATTGGAATGGTTTGTCCCTGAGTGGAGGAGGGAGAGTGCCTGTTGTTTTATTTGAAATGAGCAATCATCACATTGTTGAATGACTAAATGGAGGCAATTGAATTCATTACCAAAATGACCTAAGGAAAGATTCTCAGTGTCCTGCGATGCATTTTATGTCAGAAGAGGGCAGAAGAGCTGCCAAATTATCAACCATCCCAGATTACAGCTTTGGGGACCACTGTCAGAGATGTCTACACCTTAAGGTTTTTCTGTTTTATCTCATGGCCCATTTTAAACCCAAACTGAAGCCTGACATAAGAATAAGGCAGAACAGCTACCCAGAGGGACCGAGTAGTTGATCCTGTGGGCTTGGGACCATAGTCGCAGGGGACATAAAGCTCAATTGGCATAACATACTATACAAAACATTGTTCCACCTACTACTTTGGCGAGTAGCGACTGGGACCTTAAAAGCTAGGAAGCTGCCATCTAGATGCAACAATGGGTCTCTCCTCGTCAAGAAAAAAGAAGAAAACCAAAATTAATGGAAACAATCAGTCCTAGCTACTGGTACACCATCCGATCTGCAACCTATACAACTATGAGACCAGAAGAACTAAATGGTGCCCAGCTACCACTGCCATCCATTTGGAAGGGATGTAGGAGATCCTGCATAAAGAGGGAGAACAATGTGGTACAAAACTCAAAATTATTTGGAGGCAAAAAAAAAAAAAGAAGGTGGGGACCAGGTTTGCTGGTCCAATAGAGCCTGGTGTAACCACTGAGACTATGGCCCCTAGTTGCCCTTCAGGTCTGGAATTGAACCCACACCTGTGGTTTCCAGCCAAACAAAGTACAGGCATGTGAGTTAAACATTTACCTCAAGTAGACACACGCCCTGGAGAGAACAATCATGGGAGAAGGAAGGGCTGCTTATGCACAGGGAGATAGCTCAGGGTGCAGAAGAGTATGAAGGGATGGACACTGGGAGGAGGTAACTATGGGGAGGAAGTGAGAGGGGAGCTGCTGCATTGTAAATTTTGGTCAATGACATGAGACAAAGTATATGTGAACTGCTGTATGAAAAGTGAATTTACTCTGTAAATCTTCACCCAAATCCTAATAAAAAAAAAAAGAAGAAGAAGAAGGCAGAAGAGGTAAAAGTTGGAGCAGCTGGAAAGGAAGGGTAGGACTCAGGGAAGAATTTTCTAGGAGAAAAGGAGGACTCACTTGGACAAGCAGTGGCGGGTGCAGTAGACATCGCCCACAGGAGACAGTGTGAAGTTCTCGCAGATATAGAAGTGTTGGCGGCCAAAGAGAAGGACCCCTTCCAAGACCAGATGCCCTCGCACAATCACCAGGGAGTACTTTAGTGACACCTAGAAAGAGAACACCAGAGTTAGGCCACGCACCCATGACCCATGACCCATGACCCATGCTCAGGCTAAAGGGCAGAGCCGCGACCACTCATTTACCGCCTGGATGTTCTAGTAAGAATTGTAAGAGTAACACTGTGGCCTTCTCAGAGCAGCACAGCTCTTTGCTGTCTGTACAGTTGCCACTATGACACACAGCACCTTGTGTAATAATTTAATCTACCCAACAGACCCCAACCCACCAAGGTGTGTGGGATTGAATGTTTCCTATTGTATTAAGTGTGCTGTCATTCTTCTTCTCTCTTTAAGCTCCTCCACGACCATGCAAAGTATTCCAGTCAATAGTGAGAAAAGTTGACAAGGTACAAGGGACTCCTCAGTTTCAGAGGTGGAAGGGCTTGTCCAAGACCAATTGGTAAGTGGCTGGGCTGGGACTAGAACCCAGGTCTGCCTAGAACCACAAGTGTAAGACAGGAACAACTGTTCCTAGTCTGAGGAGTGTGTACTGGAGGATGTATAGCACTCTACTCAGATATTGCCTTGAGGACTGACTTACACATTCCTCCAGCTGCTGGAAATATAGACAGCTATCCAGGATCACCTCTACTGAAGCAAGCACCTGGCACAAGATCACATCCCCTTCCCAGTCACCCAGTATGTATCCAACAATTAGTCTATGTGGAATACGGAAAGTATACCCTTTTGCCTCAGCTTAGGACAACTCTGGAGGACCATCCAGTGCTAAAGCTTCCTGTGAAATGAGTTGAGTCCTTTGCTGTGACTTTCCCAACTTCCCAGTCCTGCTTCCCTCACTTCTTCATGTGGGTGGATGCTGGATAAATACTCTACATGCATGTATCTGACTCAGAACTGGCTTCTTAGGAATCGGACCTTAACAAAGTCTTGACCAATGACCTTGGCCCAGAGACTTGCACGGGTGCTTGGTGAATAATCCTTGAAGGAATGAGTGAATGAATAAGTGAATGCTAGAAAATTGGAGAATGGATTGGGAAGAATCAAGAGTAAGGCCATGTGCAACATCTCAGAAAATTCTGTGCTAATTTCAGTTAGACTAAAGAAGAACTAATTTTTCTTTTTTTACTATCTACTTCATGGCAGCTATAAACACTTGACACATATTAACCAATATAACTCTTACAGATGGGTGAGGTAAATTTTACTGCTATAATTTAGAGATCTGGTGGCATAGTGCCTAGGGCGTGTGACTGCTAACTAGAAGGCTGGCAGTTCAAACCCACCAGCCACTCCTAGGAAGGAAGGTTGGGCAATCTACTTCTGTAGTGATATTGCTTCAGAAACCCAAGGAAGAGTTGCCATGAGTGGGTTGACAGGTGAGTTTTTTTTTTTTTAAATTTGGAGATGGAAAAAAAATAAAAACTCAACAGCAGTGAGTTTTACTCAAAACTCACTGCCATTAAGTTGTATCTCATTCATAATACCCCTCCTTGGGTTTCCAAGTTGGTATCACTATGGAAGTAGATCACCCAATTTTAGAGATGGGGGAAAAGAAAAGATGTCTGGGGCAATAAGAACCTCACCAAAGATCAGTCACCTATTAAGACACAGAACTGTGATTAAGCTTCCTGCTTATCTTTTAGCACTGATGAAGCCACAATGGTGAAACCTGGAAAACAATTCCTAAACATTACTTATGCAATTCCTAGATCAAATGGGATGAGTGAAAGCCAGATAGCAGAGATTCACCAAGGGTTTTGTTTCAAGATAAGCATTAACCACTACAACCTAGGGCCACTCAGGTTAATGTATTGTTCCTAAGTGAGGATGAGTCAAGAGTCTTAGTTCCTATAACAAAGCTCGCTGCTTACAGCAAGTTTTCCAGGACCTTTCCTTCCACTTTTTTTCAGAGGAGCTGTCCTTCACACCATCCTGGGAGCCACAGGGTCCAACACAGATTCATTTCCAATTTCATTCATTCATCTGGAGAGTCATCAATCCAGCAGTTATGAATTTAGCACCTACTGCATCCAGGTCCAGTGAGAAGCACTGGGTATAGATTGGTAGACAAGATAAAGAAGAATCTTGCCCTAATGGAGCTGAAAACCCAGTCTGGAGAGATGGATAAGAGACATACATATCAACCAACAATCAATTGCAAATCATGATACTGATAAAAGAGAGAAAAAAGGGCTGATAGTGAGGAAGCTCAAAACTCATCTGTCAGTTTGTCATACTAAGATGGCTTGCATATTGCTATGATACTGTAAACTATGCCACTGACATTTCAAATAGCAGCAGAGTCACCCATAGTTGACAGGTTTCAACTGTGCTTCCAGACTAAGATAGTCTAAAAATAAAAGCTGAGTGATCTATTTCCAAAAATTAGTCAATGAAAACTCTATGGATGAGAATAAAATATTGTCCAATATAGTGCTGGAAGATGAATCCCCTAGGTTAGAGAATGTCATGGGTTGAATTGTGTCCTCCTAAAATATGTGTCAATTTGGCTAGGCCAAGATCTTCAGTATTATGTAATTATCCTTTTATAATCTGATTTAATTATCCTGTGTCTTGTAAATCCTAACCTCTATGATGTTAATAAGGCAGAATTGGAGGCCGTTATGTTAATGAGGCTGAATACCTTCTACAGGATTAAGTTGTATCTTGAGTCAATCTCTTTTGATACATAAAGTAGATTAAACAATCGAGCAGATATCAGAAGGACCATCAAGAAAGAAGAGCCAGGAGCACAGCACATCCTTTGGACCCAGAGTCCCTGTCCTAGGAACCTCTTAGAGCCAGGGGAAAATTAATGCCAAGACACATGGAGATCTCCAAGGAACACCAGGCCCACAGATGTTGAAAGGACACAAGGACTTTTCACCAGAGCCAACAGAGAGAAGAAACCTTTCCCTAGAGCCAACACTCTGAGTTTGGATGTGTAGCATCCTAAACTGTGACAAAATGAATTTTTGTTTGTTAAAGCCTCCACAGGTGATATTTCTGTTATAGTAGCACTAGACAACTAAGACAGAGGGCAAAAATGAACTCAAGCAGGCCACTGATTGTGAGGATGGTACAGGACTGAGCAGCCTTTTGTTTTGCTCTAAATGGGGTTGTCATGAATTGGAGCTAACTCTACAATAACCACTACCAACAACAATGAGAATGCAGAGAAACTGGGCGGATCACTATTTTAAATAGGCCCTGAGATTTGAAGAATGGAAATGAGGCAGCTATAGAAAATCTAGGAGAAGAACATTCCAAGGAAAGAGAATGTACAGTTCAGAGCCTAAGGCCAGAAAGGGCATATTTGTGGAAGAGAGAAGAGGCCAGTATTGAAGAGATGAGGCTGCAATGTAGGACTCTTCCATGGAGTCTTACATGCCTCAGTAAGACCCTTGGGTTTTATTTTGGTTGCAATGGAAAGCCATGGGGTGAATGAAGGGTCTTGTTTCTAAAAGGTCACTCCAGCTGCTGGATTAGAAAGGTCCATGAATGGAAGGAGTCCTGTCTATTTCAATGGTCCAGTAGAGCAATATGGTGGCTTGGAATGGGAGGACAGAGTGGGGAGAAAGAAAAGTAGGCATATCTGAACAAGAAGAGGTAGCATGGACAGGAACTTCTACTAGGCAAACAGTGGAAAGCCAAAAAGAGAGAGAGAGAGAAAAAAAAAAAAAAAACAGGGAAAGATTAAAGATTAATGTCTACTTTGAGACTCAGACAATCATGTGGCACCCCCAGCTCTTCCTTGCCATTACCAGTATATTGTGTATTCTTCCAAAAAGTTTCTATGAACACGTAAGTGTATTTTATACATACATATATGTGTGTGTGTGTGTGTGTGTGTGTGTGTATGTATGTATTTAACACAGATAATATATTTACATATTTCTGTCCTTCATCTAGTTTTTTCCCTTAACAACCTATCTTGGAGAGAATTTCAAATCACTTCTTACAGAGTTGTCTTATTCTTATGAATAGTTGCAGACTATTACCTTGCATGGACATAGTACAACTTATTTGACCAATCTCCTACTGATTCAGGTTGTTTTGAAATGTTTTGACATTGCAAGCTTTGCTCCAATGACTACCTTTGCACATATGTCACTGTAAATATACAAGTAAGCATGTAGTATAAATTTATAGTAGTAAAATTGAAAGCCAAAAGGTATGGGTATTTTAAGTTTTCATAACAATAGACTGCCCTCCAGCAAAGTGGCACAAAGTTACAATCACTCCACCACTGTTAAGAGTAATGCAGAATCTGTAAAACACTGCATAATATGGATGAACTTGGAGGACATTATGCTGAGTGAAATAAGTCTGCAACTATTCGGAAAGACAAATATTGTATTAATCTGTTATTGTAAAAGTCAAGTAATAGTTTATATATGGAAGGAAGTTTTCTTTGTTGGTTACCAGGGGTGGGAGGGGAGGGGAGGGGAAAAAAAAAAAGAGCTCTATGCCAGGCCATTTAAACTTTTAAACTTTACTTCTGTTGTGCTCTTTGTACAGATGAGACTCAGAGGGGCAAAAAGCTCCTCAGGTTCACACAGTGAGATGTGGAGCCACAGATGCAACCCTGGTCTCCATGCCTCCAAGACCTCTCCTCTCCTGTGATGCCACACCCTCTTCCCAACATCCCTAGTACCCACAGAAGCATCTCAGAGCACAAGCAGCTGCTCTCTTGATGCTTTCCTTTGGGAAGACTTAAGTAACAACCAGAAAAAACTAAACCATGAGAAAAATGTCTGGTGAAAACTGGGTTAATAGCTAAACAATTGATTATTCTAGGAAAGAAATGGCATTTAAAAACTGGAAATAAGCCCAAATGAGCTATTACCTTATCTTCCATTTAAATTAACCCTGTTGTTGTTGTTGTGTTATGTGGCATTGAGTCAGATCTGACTCATAGTGACCCCTCCTTGGGTTTCCAAGGTGGTATCTCTATGGAAGTAGATTGCCCAATCTTCCTTCCGAGAAGTGGCTGGTGGGTTTGAAACGCCAACCTCTTGGTTAGC